CTCTCCTTTCTTTCTCTTTATTACACGCAAAATCGGGGTGAAAATCGGAGGAACTTCAATTGCAGTTTTGAGGCCCCGCAAGAATGAGCAAATCGTTTTCCATCGAACGTTAAGTTAAACGGGAACGCAAGGATCCATAGCGAGAGCTTCGAAAACGTGGCGAGATCTTTTTTTCTACGCTAAAAAGTGCCTTTATACGAGATCCGATGGATAGGTGGTACTTTTCCCTTGAAATTCACGCTCTGGACTGATTACATTCTTTCTATTTATTCTCTCTTTTTCCCTTTTTTTTCCGTTATCGAAAGCACATTTCCCGGACGGTGGGATGCGCGTTTTGAATAGAACACGCGAGCTGAACTCTGTCAGTATTATCTGCTTCCCTTCTGGAAGAACGCACGTCTCTTTCCAGTTGGACGGCTTTATCTCCTGTCCGCTTATTAACCGCGATTTCCGCTACCTGTGTGTACGTTTACCGTGCACCGCTACTTAACTGTGGCAGGGTGTCAGGGAAGATAGAGACGTCAAGCTCGCTCAGCTGGCCGCGACACTAACTCAATCAGTACCAGGCGATGTCAGAACGTTCAATTGTGCATTTGCCACCGTCACAGAGGTTGAACTTTCGTGATGCTTGAACGGTATTAGGCGAGATTACCTGTGCTACTTCCGCGGTGGAAAATTAGTGTTGCTTCTCGTTTGGCGATACGCGAACCGAGGATCCACGAGGAGATCGAATTGGGGAACTGTTGCTTCTGTTTTTCAATCGTTTGAAGAAAAGTCGAGCTGGGCCACTTTTGACCCAGAGTAATGATCTATTTGTCTATGCATCAGAGAACGAACTTTTTTCGTCAAATTTTCAGGTAAATATATTAAACTAAATTTTAGGGAAAAAATAAAAATGTTAAAAAATAGAGATTGGACTTGTTTTATTGGCAATCGTTTATGTCGAAGGGGTGAAAACGTCCCTCGAATATTTTTGGAATATCTTGAAAATTGGAGGACATAAAGGCAAAATTCAAACATCTCAAGAGTTTTTAAATACCTTCACTTATTTAAGCAATATATTAAAAATGACCATTTTTATTTAATTTCTCCGGTGAAATATTAATCCACTTTCCCGAAATTTTGGGTGCGAAAACTATGGACCAGAATAGAGGGCAATATATTTGTTGTAATAATTATTGCCATAGATCCTTGTTAGTACAGCTAGACAAGCGCACCGAACAAACGTCGGGCGATGAACAAAATTTTCTATTTGATCGAGTGCCTTTAAAATCGCTCATTTTTCACCGGTGCAACCCGTACGCACAATTGCTCTCTAAGTGTATCCAGTACAATGCCTCCTACCTAGACCCCTGTCATTTCATAGTTGGGAAAATACCCAATTTACCGTGAAAGTTTCAGCAACGCGGCAACAACTCAATTATTTTCACTGGCCACGCGGAGAGGTGTAAAAAGCCAGCCATGAAATGTCGCCTCGCTGTCACATTTAATCCATTTTCCTTGCTAGAGATAGCGAACTCGTTTTCTTTACTTTTGCCCGCCGTGTGAAAGGAACACCTCGGGACAACCGTGGAGCAGCCGGTTGATTTATACCAGGAAATAATTAATAACTGGTAACTTTAAAATGGGCATCGTGTCCCACGACGCGGCAACGATAAAAGTTTCTCATTAAAATCTGCCGGATTTAAATAACTCGGCGAAAGCCGATTTAAATTACGGATCATATCAGGCGTGTATGTTGAAATACAATGGAACCTTTCTGTAACCTATATACGAGCTGTTTCTCTATCTTCGCGTTCTCTAGTTTTCATTATACCTACCTAGCATTCGCCCGTTTAAATCGTGTTCCATTAAAGCCTCGTTAACGACGTAATTGCGATCGATTTGCGATTGCGTTTACGCGGCGAAAGAAAATTGGAAAATAAATTATTTAAGTTACGAAGATTATGCTTGGATTTATTATTTAGAAAAGTGTCAAAACTTAAACGTGACACGGAACAATCGTGAATTAAATCACATAACCTATATCTCACTTGTTACTCAATCTTACTGAGCACATTATGCAATATTTTGCGCGTAAGAGTGTAAATTTAACAGAAAGTGCATAAAATTGGATGACGAAGTAAATTCTAGCTACCTAAATTTGACTAAAACAATTTAAAAACTCCGAACACGACACGAAACAATCGTGAATTAAATCACATAACCTATATCTCACTTGTTACTCAATCTTACTGAGCACATTATGCAATATTTTGCGCGTAAGAGTGTAAATTTAACAGAAAGTGCATAAAATTGATTGACGAATAAATCTAAATATCGGAAAAACGTCAAAATTCACAATCAACAGTAAATTAAACCACCTAACCTCAATCTCACACACTACTCCCATTTTCTCCACACTGCACACGTAAATTCGTCTATTATCCATCGTCAAAGTGAAACCGTAACGCGGAAACTCTTCCCGTGGACGTTCAAAGTGAACATTTTTTCCGGCCCCGGTTTTCAAACGTCCCGAAATCTGCGCGAAAATTAAGAAATACCGTTGGAAAATATGCCGAGCGGTTGAAATTAATAAAAGCGCAACGTTGAAGCTACACCGGCATACATAGTGTTTAATTATTCCCTCCCCCTTTGTTTAAAGACTGATTTATTTTTCACGGAATTTCAAGCGGTAACCGGCCGCCACTCTCTCGTCTATTACGCGCCGCGTATTTTTCCACCCTTATTTTGCATCTTCTACGCTCGCAAAACGCCCGCCCTCTGAAGCCTGCTCGATTAGTATAATAACGTTGATCTCGCGGCAGGTGCACCGTGAGAACGAGGAATGCCAATCGGGTTAGACGAAGGAGGCCGAAATTCAATATTTACGCTGGCGGTGGAAACTCGACGGTAATCAGACCGCCGGAGTAATTGGTAACGTTGTGCTGCTCTCAAAGCGGGAACCGGCTGAAGGGCGGAAACGCAACTACCCGGGGCCCCTCTTTGCCCTACACCTTCCGTTCTATCGTCTTCGAAGTTGTCGCCGGTGAATTTTTCATTCCTCGCTGTGTACCATTTAGCGTGAAACATTAACGAGCGCCGGTTATCGTGCAGTTTCAACCGGCAGCTTCTTCGCCGACCGTGTTTACGCTGCGCGAGACTTTTCGAATTGTGTCGTTAATGTTGCATCCGAGAAACTTTTTACTCCGCGCTGTGATATAGCGTACGGCGATAATTCGCGCGGTACGTGAAAATCTTTCGAGTGTTTCAGTCAAGTTTCACTGGGAATTTTGTGATAAGGGATAGTGTAACGAAATTTAGTACATATTTTTTTTTTTCAAAAGAATTTTTATACGTCATTGACAGTCTTAAGTTTGCGCAATCAGAAAATTAGGACTTTTTTTAGTTACCAAGAGAATAAGATCTTTTCGATATCGTTTAATATCGATTTTTTTTTAGATATTAACGTGGAGATTGGCGAAGTGAGATTATTTTTGGAACGATTCTGAAATGGTGGATTTGGCGTAGGGGAAAGTGGGTCAATACTGGGTGCCTAATATATTTTTTTCTGCCAATAATAAATCAGAGAGGGAAAAAAAGCTCCGCACACCATCGCCAGTTTCAAGTGGGGCTTAATTAGAAATGAGATTTTTTTGTTTAAATAAAATATTTGCCTACCGAGGGGAGTAAAATTTTTCGAAAATATTTAAATGCCCAGTTTCGCTCCGCGGGGGAGAAAGTGGAGCAATACCTAACACATTTTTTTCTGTGGATAAAAAAACTCTGCACACCAAGGTCAGTTTTAAGCGAAGTTTAATTGTAAGTAAGATTTTTTGTTTATAAAAATATTTGGCTACTAGAAATCGCGTAAAACTAATTAATACGCGTAAAATTAGTTGGTAAATATACTTCAACTTATTCTAAGAGCAAAAGTCGCACATAAACCTGTCGTTCTCCTTCTCAGCATTGGTAAAAACCTCGTTAGCTCACCCTGTACACGAAATACACTGAATTCAACCCTCTTTGAATTTACAGAGAACACAAAGTTCATTGAAAAATCTGCAAGCTTCGTTAAAATCATCCTCTGAGAATGAATTCACCTCTTATCACAGTTTTACCCTACTTTTCCGTACATTTAAAGCGGAAAAGTTAGAAGAATTTATTTTACAATTACATCGTCACTCGACAAAATTATTTTTTCTGCTCGACGTGGGAAAAAAAATGAATATTCAGCGAGCTGACTAATGATCCACGCGAGATCATTTTCCAAACACGACAAACACACCGTGCGTGGACACGCGAGTGTAATTCCGCTCGCGCGGCGAGAAGTGTTAATTAACTGTCTATCGTCCAGTGTTAAGTGTTCTCAAGTGTTATGATTATGAAAGTATTATGACGTTACAATCAGTGCTTAACTAGCACAGCGAGATACTGGAAGCGCGCAAATGCAGGACGAATATTAATAATCCATTCGTGTCCGATTCACTCTGTCAAAATTTCCACTCGACGCTTGTCGCGTCGAGTGTTTTTCAGATAAATAAAGAAATGAAAATCCTAGAAAATTTTCGCCGAATTTTTCGCAATCTAATTTCACTAATCACAGATCACCTAATTATCTTCTCTGGCTATGATTATGGCTCCAGAAAATTTGTACACCTAATTTAAATGGTTTTTCAAAGAGCGAATAAGAAAAGCATTTTCTATTATTTTTTTCACACGAATACAAAAAATATTAAATCAAACGTGAAACTTTAATTTTTCGCCACTTGTTCTACGAAATTTTTCTCTGAAACCATTTAAATTAGGTATAAAAATTTTCTCGTATCGCCAAAAAGTTAAAGATGACGATTAGGTGAGCTGTTCTACGTGGCTCACCCTGTACATCTCGAATAAACGTCAGGCGATCTACATAGGAGACGGTGCTCGATCGGCATCGTAAATATTAGCAAGTTGTGCGCGCTCTTCTTGCTCGACTACAAACGTGAACTATTTCTAACGTTCGCTCTGCTTGTTTTTAGTTTTGGTCTGCCTACGTTCCATGCGGTGCAGCACAGTTGAATGCGGTTCAACTTTCCTTGGAACAGATCGACGTAATCCGCCGGCTCGCCGAGATGAATGCTCAACATTTAACTTTGGTTACCTCCGTCAAAGGTGAGCTTTCCAACTTGAATCGGCGATCAGTTTTTAATTGCCAACCATCGATCCGTGAAATCTGCTTTTCAATCCGACTTGAAAGCCTGAGGTTTCCAAGCCGAAAAACCCGCGAATTTATTAGTTTTCGAAACACCGTTGTGTTTCGAATTATTCAATAGCCTTTCCGCGTTCGATGATCATTCGTCTGCATGATTCATGAGATCGACATTTAATGGAATCCCTTTGTGCATCGATCAAAAGGAATAATCCCATTAATTCCGTTATTCCCTGAATACTTTACTAATGCTTTAAAACCACCCCGCTCTAGTAGAATCACCTGCGTATACTGTAATCGCAGAAATGTATCGAACGAGATTTAGAGATTTGCTAATTAATCTGAAAGAAAGAAATCAAACGAAAATAGCTGTGTTAACGTTTCGAATGAAATCCACGTTTCTTTGCACTTTCCATTTTTCTCTGAGCTAGAATTTTCAAGGAAAAATTCTGTAACACATACCTCGGTATGTATAATATCTCAGATTTTTTTCCAAATTTTTGAGTATCGTTAAACAGGGAAAATTGAGGGAGATAAAGGGTTTAAACTTGATCTCAAGTATTGTCTTTCGAATGGTCCATGGCAAGACTAATTTAATTTAAAGGTACTTCTGATCGACTACCTTCAAATTGTCGTGTTCGTTCAGAATTTAGAATGCCAGAGAATTATGACACAAAATCACATTTTTCAAGAGCTGAATAATTCGTTAGATTTGAGCGAAGCCAAGTCTCGCGTGAAAATATAAGATGTAACTGAAAGTGAGTGAAGAAGAATAAGGAGGAGGAGCTTCGAAGAAGATTGCAACAGAGGAAATCAAGATATATGTAACGATCAAAGCAATATTTATCAGGCACGATTCCCTAAGGTTGCTATAACAATAAAAAATGCAGCTTGATAGTGCCGAGAAGCAGACAAAGTAACGGAGCCTTACGTACTGAGATAGAACAACGCTTTACCACGGATTTCCAAATAGTATTGCTTGCAATTTCTAATTCTATGTCTCACATAAGCAGACGTTGCTTCGTGGAACGGAGAATCTATGTTACACTTCTTGTTTTATTAACCATTGAACACGTAAATACACTCTCTGAATAATTTTAATCATTCGTTCCATTTATTCTACCGTTACTGAAAAAAACACTCTTTTTTTTTTTTTTAATTAAAAATATTAAGTTGAGATCCTAAGTCTATAGTTCACGATATTTATTTCCTTAAATTTATTATTCATTCTTATATTATTTATCTCAGTCTTACATTACACCGCCTTTAAATTTTCTTCGTTTTCTTCTATCCATTTTGGTACCAAAATGGCTACCTAAGCTCGATACATGAATTATTAAATCGTATTAAATTGTAAACACCTTATTTATCCATTCAAATAAAACGAAAGAAGCACCTTTTCGATATAATTCATAACACCAAAAATCACGTTTCGATCGCACTTTTTTATAAAATCGATATCTGTCAACCGAACCAAAAAAAAAAAAAAAAAAAATTTCGTTTCAACCCTCAGTCTTACATTACACCGCCTTTAAATTTTCTTCGTTTTCTTCTATCCATTTTGGTACCAAAATGGCTACCTAAGCTCGATACATGAATTATTAAATCGTATTAAATTGTAAACACCTTATTTATCCATTCAAATAAAACGAAAGAAGCACCTTTTCGATATAATTCATAACACCAAAAATCACGTTTCGATCGCACTTTTTTATAAAATCGATATCTGTCAACCGAACCAAAAAAAAAAAAAAAAAGAATTCGTTTCATCCCTGTTGTTACACGGTGTGTTAAAAATTATTGACGTATTGGACCAAACGTGATATTGACTGATGCAGATAATAGCTTTGAAAAAAATACGTATACACGATAGAAACAAACATTTTATCGAAACATCGGTCTCAACAGAACGAAATACAATTATCGGTTGATTCTCTCGTTGAACTTTTCCAGCGATGAGAATGGATAATTTTTAGGAGTAGGTTACTCGTTTGAAATAACAGTCTAATAGACGGTAGCAAAGTAGATTTTTTTAGTTGAAAATGTTGCTATCCGTCCGACTGGTAATTAGACTGCTGGAATCGCGTACCAACTGTAAGTAACAATGGATGCAACAGAAACGGCAGAACCTGGCAGGAAGTTTGCTCTCGAGGAAACTCGAGAGGACAAAGGAGACTAGTATTAATTGCTCGATTTCTCTGGAGCAGTATCATTCAAGAGGAAAGTAATTATTGGTTCCAACTTGATAACACCGTTTCACGCTGTCGTAGCTTTACCGACGACCGAGAAAAATGTTTGCTTATCGGCGGCTAGTTAATCGATTAAATTGCCGTCATGCAAATTTTACTACTGGAAAAGCTTCAAACGTCCTGACTGTACGCGTTTCTTCGTTCCACTGACGAATAAAAATCGCCCTCCGGCCGAACTGTTTGAACGAAATTTGCCTGTTTGTGTATTCAGAATTGAAAGTTTCGCTGTTAATTAGCGAATCGGGGAAATTCGGCTGTTCAACAATTGATCGATACTTCCTGGAAGGCTATTGGTGACGGAAGAAGTACTTATCTGGGTTGTTCAACATACTTACAGGAAATGTGGCATTTTGAGTTCCTTTAGATTCGCTCAAAAGTTGGTTTTTCTGTTTTAAAATTGAAATAAATTGATCAATTTTGAAATTTCACTCGGTCACACACTTTGCAATTTCTTTGAAGGGGAAATATAGCGTAACAGTGACCTAAACTTCTGAATTCTGCATATCAATTTTTTTGAGAATGAAAAGTATTAGAAAATATGGAAAATATTGAAAAGTAGAATAATTTTCTTTCGTTGAATGTGATAAATTCGTGACAATGTTCACCACAAAATATCTCAGGTGTGACAACTGTTTCCTGTCTCGACGAGGAAAAAAATAGGATAGAACCTTAGGACAGAACCGAGAAACATTCTCGTTCCATTTTCCGCTCTGTTCAGTCAAACAATGCGCAACTTGGGACTTTTAGGAACACAAAATTATTCTTCCAGCAGGAGTTTGGAAATTTGCCGTGGAGAAACGAAAGAGAAGGATAGGGGAGAGACAAAAACGACAGAGTCTATAACCCAAGCGAGAACTTGTAAAAGTTTCAGCGACAAGTAACCCGCGTCGGAAAGCTGTCAGCCATTTTCATAAGCTCAAGAAACTCCGCCAACTAGGAAACCGAATCGGGGTCGCGAAAGGAACACCTAGCGGAAAGTCGGGAAAAGGACTTTTCACTTGTCTTTTCAGCCTCTACATACATTTCGCTGAATTCTGCGCCAAGTTGAACAACTCTACGCGAAAACTATTACTAAAACCTAACGGAAATAATGGTCCCAAGGGTGAAAACACGCGCTTCCTTAAAAAGAAGTTCTAAATTCTCACATTTACCAAACGAAAAAAAAAGTAAAATCCGAAAAACATCATTTTCTTCCAAATTCACCTCCGGCACTTGTGATTTTTCAAATTTTCACCAATTTCAATGAAACTCACGCATGATATACTTCTCAAAAAACTATTTGACACGTATTTTTCTTTATTAACCGTCCTTCGTGTTAAAGAGGTGAAAACAACCCCCGAAGTTCAGGTGTCGACGCCTATTCGGTCGAACGTCAAAAATTCCAACAAACAGAGGTCATTTTTCCCCGAACGAAAGAGCAAACCTTCCGGTATAATTCTCGAACGACTAATTACACCGTCGAATGGGATAAAAATCCTCCGAGCGGCGTATAGAGAGAAGCGTGTTTCAGGATAATTATCATTCTCGTTCCACTCGTCGCGAATAATTTGAAACGAAAGATGCAGATAATGGGGCGGAGGAGAGGCGGAACGGCGGTGAAGTTGGTCGTTTCGAATAGAGGAGAGTGCGTGCACCAGCTCACGGTGGAAGAAACGTGAAGCAAAGGTCGCGTTATGCACGCGCCGTTGCAGAAAAATGAGAGGAAGACATGGGGCAAGTGCGACAGCCGTAGAGGAAGAGAGAGATTCGAGGGAGAGGACGGCGAAGTATAGCGAACGTCTTGTTGTAAAACTTCTCACGACAAGTAACCCGCTCCAGAAAGCTGTCAGCCATTTTCATAAGCTCGAGAAACTCCGCCAAGTGGGAAACCGAAACGAGGTCATGGAAGGAAAGGGGCAGTAGGTGGAAAAGGCGCTGGTTCGTGTAGGAACCACCGGTTAAGGCCTGTGAACACTCGTATGACCGATCAAGCCAGAACTTGGGGAAATAAAACGGGAATAAGTAGCGTTCTGTCGTGTGCCGTGTGCGTTTTCGGGCACGTGTGTGGCCTGCGGAAACCGAGAAACTTTGCTGTGAATTTTTACGGAGACGCTGTGGACCGCAAAATTTAGAAACTGGGGAAAAAGAGTCGAGCAATGAACCGTTTATTGTGAAAATGGTGTCAGCCCATTTTTCCATGTGTCGAGATATTCGAGGCTTTGCATTTCGGTCGATTCGAAAATATTGCTGGAGTCTGATAAGTTTTCCCACGTTTCCGTGAATTTATACAGAATTTATGAAAATTAATTAAGTCAATTTTTTTGGGAGCTGTAAATGGATTTATGGATTATTCAATATCATTTACTAACGGATTTTCGATTGAAGCATATGGATATTTAAAACAATTAACTGTAAATTTTCTGTAAAAAAATAAGTTTGCATTGATTTACATGTAAATTACTTGTTTTCTCAATTTCGTCCAGAAATGGATTTACACTAGTAATAATAAATGGTCCAAGTACTGCACGGTACTGTTGACACGCAACTGGAATTAGGTTAACTCATAGAAGACACATAAACAATCAAGTGATACTGACTTTTTCTCTCCACTTTATCTCGTTCGTACGCGTTTTTCATTGTAATTTCACGGGGTTTCCATTCCCAAGATCGTATTTTCTTATGCATTTATTCCCCCAGCGTGCTCCCCGTTCCGTATTGTAAAATACGAGGAATATTTGAGAAACTCCATATCCAAAGCAGCAGTTCTTTCTCAAGAAAGGAAAATCTTTCATGGGACGAAGAGATTGAATTTCTTTTCATTCAATTGTAACAATCTCTCCCTGAGGAACATCTCTTTGCGAATGCGTTATTAGCCACGTCTCGGCTATTACCTTCCTCCCTGGCTTTACCTGAAATTTTTCTAAATAACTCGCGCGACACGCGTTAAAAGTATCCGCGACTCGGTTCTTCGTTTCCCCTCTTTTTCTCTCTCTACTCGACGAGAAGAGAGGAGAACGAACCGGCAGAGGTTCAACACGAGGACGAACTCTCGAGAAACAAGGAACCTCGTTACTTCGCGAAGAATATGCAATTCGCTGGGAAAACAAAATCCAACGATCGATAACCGCTGAAACGAACGAACATAGAATGACTTACGTACTTACGTATTCTTCCCTCGATTTGAATAATCTAGTATCAGAACTCCGGTCTCGTTCAACTCGTACACGGAACAATCCCTCGATTCCTGATCAGCCCGACCAAGCATGGATATTCCCATGTAAATCCCGGCCGATCTCGTCTGTCACCTGCAACCAGTGCGAAAAAAATTACGTTAAAACGCTCCCCTCTGCATCTGCATAAAAAGAATACCTAAACAGACTGCAAACAATATTATCGGAAAAGATTCGTGCGAAAGTTTCTCTGTCAGCGAGAAACTCAAATCGAATTTTTCTCTCTTTCTTGTTTAAATTAACAAAGAAATGAAAATTTTTAATTAAAAAAGAAGGGAGAGATTTTACAACTGGGTCACATCTGACCCGGCGACCGTCACGCGTGAGATTATCACGCCAAGATTTCGTAAGGATTCTACGTTACTGTTCTAATTATTCGAACAGTCTGGGGACAGGATAAAAGGGAGGACAATTTTTTTCGTCTGCGCAGGTCTTATCGAGGCGCATCGAGAAGGCAAAATCGCAAGTCTTATCGGGGTCGAAGGTGGTCACTCGCTGGGGAATTCCTTGGGCGTTCTCAGGACATTTTATGGCTTGGGCGCGAGATACCTTACCTTGACGCATGCCTGCGATACTTCCTGGTGAGTACATTCCATACCACTTTCGAAACATCAACAACAACAAAAAAGAAATAACGTAGAGAAAAGACGGACAGATAGCCATCTGCAGAAAAAGTGTTTATAAAGTTTCGATCTTACGACGGTAGAACGGTTTTGGGTGAACGAAAAGCTCGATTCACCGAGCTCGCGAAATTCGGGATATTTGATCGAGCTTAATCAATAAGCTAAATTGAACAGGGGAATTTATGTAACAGCGTAACGTTCTACGCACAGCCACCGTTAAACTACCTAATATAATAGATTCTTAATTGTCTCTCAATCACTTTCTGGGATAACGGTCAATTAATTATCTATGAAAATATATTTAGTACAGTCGGCGGTGCTCGGCGACGAATCGATAATCCCCCCCATTCGAGAACCTCGCGCGCGATTTAATTCATAATTTCATTACAATACACGCAATTTCATATCGAAATGTTGCCATTGTGCGGGACCAAGTGATTTCATTTCAGCCATCATAGACCGGCAAAGTCTTTCAAAGGACGTTATAGCAGATATTACAGAGGTACGAACAAAGAAAAATTCACCGAAGAAAGAGAGACGATTCTTCCCCATGTCGACTGGGAAAAAGAAAAGAAAAAGAAGAAAATTTCCGAATATCGTCAAATAAAATCGCGCGCATTGGCTTGATCCCGGTATAAAACGGTTCCGCCCGTTTAAAGAGCCATTTTCCATTTCAATTAATCGACCGACGAAACTTACTCCCTTGTCGCTCTTTTCACCAAGACCAAGGGTGTACTTTTTTTCACTACAGTTCATTCCGTGCCCGCTTTGTACCGTGATCCATCGTTGGAAGAAAAAGCTATCCCACAGCCGATCAGGCTGAAAGGAGCTCGAAGCAATCTAAAACGTTGGCGCAGAGTAAAATTTTCTCGGTTTCAGCGATTTCAGTTACCCTGCCAAAAACCCTACACTTACGCTCCTACGTTTCAAAGAAACGAACGGCCAACAGAACTTTGTTTCGGAGAAGGAAGTTTCCTTCTGGCCGGCAGAAATCGTGACCCGATACCACCAGGCCAAAGAGTAAGATCGTCTTATCGACTTTTCTCACCGTCTAGCCTGCGATGCATCAAAAATTTTCGTCGAACGTCGCGATAACAGGTTATTCTCGCGACGGATTCGACGAATTCGTACGTGAAATCCCTTTCGATCGAACTCGTGGCCGATGAATAGACCAAAAGACGGACTCGAAAGAGTTCACGTGATTCCCCTCGTAAAGCTCGATACGTTGATTCTGGCGTATAGGAATTTTCTTTCAACCGAATCCACCCAGTTGCATCGTAAAAATTTCGCGGTTTAGTTTCCTTTTTTTCGGTTGCCTATATTTTTCAAGGGAACTCCCGTGGCTCGTCGTTACGTCTCGATCTCCGGAGACCTGATCTGGGTCTCTAACATTTATAGCTTGCAAAGTTTCTTATTATTTTCTCGGGGAATCCCGAGATCGCCGCTGCGCTCGGACCCTGGCCTGGAGAAACATGGGCCACTGTCAGCGGAATAACGTCGAAACGCGGTAGAAATGTGAGATCCTCGAAGGCATCAATCCTCCTGACAAGTTTTATGTGTCCCACGATGCCTCGTTTTCTATCCTGCCGTTATAAATAAAGCTTTACTTTATGCATCTCTACAATTCTGTCGAGGAAACTATTTTAATCCTTTCACTGCTGTTCAAAATTCGCGCCTATAGGGGTCTCGAGTATTTCTTGCAAACTTTCTGCACACATTCAACCTTAATTTTCGACCGTTTTGCGCTTCCGTCTTAATTTAATAAAACAAGTTTCAAAAGAATGTGACCAAACTGGAAAATTTCACGTCTACGGTAAAATCTCCCTCGGTGAAGAATCTTCACATTCGTAGACTACACGCCATGTCGCTGAAATGCCTAATTAAATCTCCTCAGACGAGTTTCTTTGCTCGTGGAGAATATGATCGAAATTGGAAAGGAAGAGGCGACAAAGAGGTGGGAAAGTTAGGTGGCCCCGATCGATTCAAGCTCGAGAAACTTACTGAACAGCGGAGGGAGCAGAATAACAAGTCCCTTTCAGATATCAGATACGCCGCTATTGAGCATCAATTTTACAGAGAACACTTGGATGTGCCGCATCGCGGTAGCTGGAAACCTTAAAGCGTGTCCACAACACGACCTACATACTTTCCGCAACGAAGGCTCACCATTAAGTCGGAATAATTCCATGAACCCTGCCACAAAGCCGGAATTTATACGCTCGAGAGTTTCCACTAGAGATGACCTCCCCTCTTTCTCTCTGTGTGTCCGTGTATCTGTCTGAATGTGAACGTACGACACTGTTGATATCGTTCCCCGTAACTAACAGTTCGACTCGAAAGTATCAGACGACAATGGCCGTCGACCTGATTCAGCCTGGTTTTCAATCCTTGCCTATTTTATGCGTCCCTCGACACGATACCTCGTGGCGCTGTAAATAAGATCCTTAGGTGCCTTGTCCTCGAGCAAATCTCTCCTTCGATGCTACACAGCTTTCTTTTCAACGGGTTACCTAACGCTGGCTGCTTCCCTATTAGGTGTCTTGAATGGAGAGATGCAAGGATCACGAACAGGATTTAATTAAAATAATTTAGAAAAGGTTTCTTGGTAGGCTGCTGCGTGTGAAATGGCCAAAAGCAGTAGGATAGGCGGTTCGTTGACTGTTTCATTGCTAAATGGGAGAGTGTGTATGAAAGTGAAATATTAAGATTGAATTGGGTTTTAGGCTGAAGTGAAGAACGTTTTCGAAGGCTTCTGAAAATTTTCAGAGGCCTGAATAATTCAGTTTTACGATGGTCCAGTGGATCATGCTTCGATTAGAGATGGGAGACGTTGAAAATCTCCTTAATATCCAAGTCATTTCATCTGCATCACTTCGTCATTTTATCCTAAGGCTTTTGAGGCTTTCACAGCTTGGATTGCTTGAATTACTCGAGGCTGAACAATGAAAAACACCTGATTGGAAGAATGGTCCCTGATCACAATGTGCTTATTATTAATTATTAAAAATGACAACGACATTATCGATATGTTTCTGCTCGATTCAACTGGACCAGGCTGAAACCTTGAATCCTCGAGCAACAATTCCAATAAAATGACAATTCCTACAGCTTCCAACAGAAGAGCAAAAATCGAGCTTCATCCTCGTGCAGTTATTAACGAGAACTCGTTTTATTCGCGACGATGTCGGAGAATCACCTTAAAGATGGTGTCCTATAGGCCTAACGTCAATCTCTGACCTGGTTCTCTGTCTCTCCGCCTTTTCTTTGTACCTCCTTTGTCTTCGTCCGCTTTCCCCCGTGGGAACGGGAGGATTGTCGAGAGACGATTGGATTTTCCGCGGTTCTCGATGACGACGAGTTGTCGACCTTCCCTAACGTCTCTCTCTATCTCTCTCTGAGAACGTTTCCGCGACCGTCCCAGCCCAGAGAGTATCGAGGCGAGAATCGACCGGGGAGAAGAAAGATTACCGGCTTTTCGTCGGTCGGATTAAATTTTCTATGGATTCACGAGTCGTCGACGACGATCTTTCGGCCCCTTTTACCTTACTCAACCGTGACCACCTACGAACGTTTCTTACCGCCGAGGAATTGCTTCCTACGGTGATAAATTATTTCTCGATTTTAAAGCGATCCGGAAGATTGCGTCCTCGAATTCCTTTCCCTTCGAACGGATTAAATTTCTACCTGCCCTGCCCATGGGAAACAATAAAGTCGTACCGTTGCCGTACAAATACCCTTTTTAATCTTCCTGATTACACCAACGACGGAGCACCGATGTCAATTTTTCGTGTATTAAACTCCGGCCAATTGAATTACGAGAAAGAACGCGTGCGATTTAAAGAATAATAGTGTAACGTTAATCTCTCGTTTAGGGGAGAGACACATAGTGTATCTCGAAGCAACAACGATTTTCAGAGATACCACTCTCGCGAAGAGAGAAAAAATTCGATTTCCTTTATCCCACCGTTGAAGTTTATTCCTGGTTCCTCTGTTCTATTTGTGAAAAGAGCGGCTACGAGACTGTATAGATATCTCTGTACGTGGGAAAGGAAGAGACCGTAGAGAAATCGCGGCTCGAGAGAGAGAGAGATGTTGGTGTTTTCGCGTGCTGGAGAAAAAACGAAGGCGCGTGTATTGAAAAATTATTGAATTTCCCGGACGGTTTTACACGCGAACAGAAGAGAGTTCTAACAGACATTTTCTTGGCAGGGCAGTCTGTTCAGTTGGCGAGACGAACAGTACCCAGGACTCGACGCCGGGACTCAGTGAGTTTGGAAAGGTGAGTTGACCATCGTTTTCTTTCTATTATCACTGCTACAATTCAAAGACAAATTTCAAATTCATTACGAACAACTTCTACCTCGTATTTACAAAAAGCAAAAAAAAAAACAAACAACACGTTTCCATTGCATCTTCCATCGAATAAGATACGAATACGATGCACGATCGGGAGAGAACGCGAAGAACGTTTGCTCAAAGTGAACCGAGTGGAAGTATCGTGAACCGACGAGGAATTATGTAAATAAACTTTTCATTTGCATAAAAAGGAACGGCTTAAAGCTCGGTCTCCTCTTGGTGAATTCTCGTTTCGATATTTCCTTCCCGCGCATTGAAAACAGCCAGCCGAGCAAATATTAAAGAACGATCTCCATCGATCGTGTACTACCAGCCCGGAATAAAACCGGTATATTTATAAGTGACCGTAGAGAGCACTGTCGATGAACGGGGCAGGTAAATAATAATCAATGGAAAGCAATCAATGACACACAACGTGCTCTATTTATACGACCGCTTCTTCATTCTTCGCGAAATTACGACGAGAGCGTGACCCACATTTCACCCTCGTCAGATCTCTTCTACCTATAGCGCCGGCAACTTTCTCACACTTCCGACAACGAAAATCGACAGAAATTTTCGTCGGCCTCGAATTTCTGGCATTCGTCGCACGCTACCTGGCCGCCCGATGCACCGGCGATAAAACGAGGCGAGTGGAACGGGCGAAAAAAAGAAGGAAAACACTAGTGAATCTTTTTGTGAACAGGAGCGGAGAAGGGATGAAGCTTTTTTTTATCGATCCTGCGAAAATTTGCAGTCTCTTGGTGGTAGTTTCTGTCGCGTGATAAAAAAAAGAAAGAAAGAAAGAACGATCGTTGTAGAGTAGGGGAAGTTGGTGGTAGTAGGAGAAGAAGGGTTGGAGGAAGAGGAGATGCAAAAGGGAACGTAAATCAAATAAGCCATCTCTGTTATCTTCCCCGCCATCCCTTACCCCCTTCTCTTATCGCTCTCTCTCTCTTTCTTCTGCTCTAATCTTTCCCCTTCGAATACACCCCTCTCTGTTACCCTCTGGATGCTGTGTGCCCTTTCTCTCGTCTCCTCTTTGTTTCACCGCGTTCTTTCCCTCCCTTTTCACCCTCATTTACATACACAGGAACCGGCGTCACCGACAACCGTGTTTGTGTGTGTGTGCAAGCACGGCGAAGCCACATTGCCAGACATGCCTCGATTGTTCAAGCGCACCACCGTTCACTATATATCGAAACAACGTCGGTACAAAATCGTTATTGTGGAGGGTACACGGCCGCGGCGCAACTCTGCCAGACGATTTGCTACAAAATTCTCCGCTAATCTGAGGATTTCGAAGCTATTCCAGTTTGTCTTATTCCTCTCTCCCCACACCCACTACCCCTTTTCGCCTCGTGTCTTCCCGGTTTTCGCGTTGTTACGATACCGAGATTGAAAATAATTTCGTGACGTAACAGGCTCAACGAGAGGATTCTTCTCTTTCTCTCTAACCTCGAGTTTCTTTCTTTCCCGATATTCAATTCGCCTGGCTTTCAATAGGGCTGTGTGATATTACACAAGCGCCAGGCGAGACATTCAGCTCCGTGGATCTCTCGAATGAATCGCTGGGAGATTATGGGAGCATCTCGTAGGACAATATTGAGGGATAATTGTGAAATTTCGGGTTGTTTAATAGGACGAGATGGTAAATGGCTGGAGTGTGAATAATTTCGGTGTAATTCACATTTCAGTGTGAATCATTTTTTTGCTCAATTTCGGTAGCATTTCAATGTTGACGAAACGAAGTGGAATTTTTTTTTGAGAATTGAAGGTAGTTAGGTTAGATTTCACTGGTCCACTCTGTATTTTGGGACGGATTCATTGTCCGTGTATGTTCATTCAAATTCGACAAGTTCAATTTTTCTTTGATATCACAGATTTTTTCGAATTTCAAGTTAAACGAGAGAACTCATTCACGCACGCTTCCACGAGGAAGACGTAGAATCCATCCGAAGGCGTACAAAAGCAGCCTCCGTTAAATGGAGCATCGGCTATTTCGTGATTTTTCTCGAGCAGCGTAAGGGAGAAAAAGGGTTGAACGCGGTTGGTAGCAGGTTTTCGTTTGAAAAATGATTCCGAAACGTGTGGAAAAAATAAAGGGAATTTACACGGGTAAAAAGAAATTCCACGATCAACCTTTTCTGTATATTACGTATAGTATTATATATACATAAGTACATACAGATATAGAATCAGGACGAATCGTAGAAATTTTCGGCAGGAAACTTTTCCTCTCGTTTTAAGTTCGAAACCATATATTCCAGCCCTCGCGTGGACCAAATATATTTCAAGAAGTGATTCCGTTTTGAGGTATACGCGGCCACGTGTGCACGATAGGTGCAATATTTCCCCTGTTCCCTTTCTATTTTCCTTCTTCGATTACCCAATACTTGTGTTGCCTACCGCCTTATTTCCCTCTGTTACTTTACACATGCGCCTCTACACGTCTTTCTTTATAGAACACCCGGAAGAATGTGGCTCTCCGTCACAGAGATGCAATATGCACCGATAGAATAGAAATGTGTTCTTATTTTCGAGCTTATTGCCGGTTCGATAAATCTCACCGTGTACATAGAACGGCGTACTATGGTAAATAGTATTTAACCTAGTGCTCACCTAATCAGCCACAAATTTTCAGCTAAGATTTTTCATTGGAAATTTGAAGTATTAAAAATTAACCTGTTTCACATCAAGCGATAGATAATTCGCGCGTTCCTGGTGTAACGGAATAAAGGCACGATTCGTCAACACAAATCAACAATTGCGTGTAATTGAAGGCACGAAAGCTGTTATGTGAAACTTCGTTCGGTGTTGAATTACAATAGGTTAGAAATTGAATCCTAAAAGCTTCCGTTTGAAATCAAATTGGTAATCATTAGAGGTATACCCCGAGGTACTTGCGTTACGATAGTTAAATTTCACCTAATCATCTTTGGCGATAATTTCCAGTGAAAATTACAGGTTTGGTAAAATTAAGTAACAAGATTTCGGGTGTGTGATGTTCGTAAATATTAAGACACCCGTTACGTTAGTGTAGAAAGTGTTATATGATTTAAGGTTATGTTTGCTCGCCAAAGTTAGTGTCATATATTTAAAAAAATATGAATAACTAAGTAAGAATAATTTTTCTTTAGTATTTTAATGATTTTGTAATGATTTTTGTGAGTGAAATAATTTTACTGAGAAAAAAAATGGCTGGATTTCAGCAGAGTTCGGTAAATTTCAGTCGAATTCGGTAAATTTTGATAGATTGCCGTAGATTTCCGCAGATTTCAAGAGATATCAGTACTCTACGCTAAATTTGAACAAAATACAGCAAATTTGGTTAAATTTCAGTATCGGTAGAAAATTTCGGTAGATCTCCGATAAAGTTCGCTAGATTTCAGTACGCTTCAGATTCGGTAAGTGTCCCAATACCCACGACCGATGGTGTACGGTTTAAATATTCGTTCTGGATAACGAGTGGCTGGTTGGAAAGGCGGCTTAAATCGCGGGAAACACCTCGTCCCCGTTGTCTCTGCAAAATCGCGCGTGCCGAGAAAAACGAACATCACCGGCGCGCGGCGTCTCGTTAGAACGGGGGTGCACTGGCAAAAACAAAAACGAGAAAAAAAAGAAAAAAAAGGACGGTACCCATTGTGTTCCTTCTTTTCCTTTCACTCGTATCGGCGTCCTGGTCTATAGATCGCGGCTGTTTTCTTCTATTTCCGCGTGACAGAAGAGGTGGGCTTGCTTACGCCCGTCTACTAATGTTCGCCAGTCGAAATACCCGCGTTTTCTCCCTCCTCTCTACTCCTTTTTTCTCCACCCTTCCTTCTCTTTATTATGCAATTTCTGATTTCCCTCTCTCTCTCTGTTCCTAACAAGAAGAGAACGACCCCGTCTCGCTCGAGTTACGAGAGAAGCACCGATCATCGTTCTTAATAAACTCCCCGTGAAATCGCGCCGAATTAAGGGTATCTCGCGAGTCCTTTGCACACCCACACTGGCCTTTCCCGCATTTCAAAGCAATTACCGCCGAGTGACTCGACCCTGTAATTGCGCGGAATTGCTAGACCCTCGGTGCACTTCGTCACTATCCTCAGCAGTGGAGAAAGCGCCTCAATTTTGAACGTTACAAACTGGTCACCCGGTATCTGAATTACGAAACTGCGACGGGACAAATGTTTCCCTGAGAAACAGCAGGTGGGAACATTTGAAAAAAATCGTATTCTCCATTGGAAAATTCGTAAGTTAAGTTCACCAGCTCGTTAGCAAAGCCCCTGAAAACTCTCCATTCTACCCTCTCGCGACCCCGGAGAAATGTCAAAGGTGAGAGTTCTTAGACACCGCGGACGAGAAATATTTGTCCCGGAGAAAAAGCAGATGGAGATAGTTTTAAAAAATCCATTGGAAAATTCGCAAGTCCCCCAGACTCGTTAGCGAACCTCCTCGTTCTACCCTCTCCCGGAAGAATGTCATACGTGAGAGTTCTTAGACACCGCGGACGATGGACCTACATTCCACCGTTGGTTTTACCTCGCGAAAATATTCGACTGTTTTTCAACTCGGAGCTAAAAACTCTGGAACGGTATACACGAGAACGTATTACATACATTGTCTCTTCGTGACTTTTCCTGCACGACTCACAGGCAGTTAAGTCCTGTGCACGCTGCTGACCGAGATGCGGCGTTCTGAGGCAGAAACTCGCGGTGTCGTGTACACACGGAACGGAAGAAAAAGGGTTAGAAATGGATTCGAAGCGAGGAGAGGGTGGAAAAAAAGATACGGTTTTTCTGCGGTGAACGTTGCGGTTCGCGTGTTACGTTCTATTAATTAAAGAGCGAGTATATGTGTATATGTACGTATATAGGCGTCGCGACGGAATACACGGCCATCCGTTATGTCCGTTAATTTCTATAATGTCCGCGGCGTATGCAAAACAGGGACACGTGGCTTGGTAGCGGCGGCGGCTGGTTCGCGGTGCCAAAAACGAAATTCGAGTCGTTTCGCGTACGAATAAAGTTCCTCGTCGGCGGCTGATGCTAATGCAAACTGGAAAATCACGTAATCTCTTTGCCCTGGGTATGACCGGTATGAACATTTGCATTCTAACCGTGTTCGGAGAAATTGCACGGCGGTTCAATCGAATTCGCGTATCAAAACCACCGCCCGTTCCCACCATTCGACCGTGTATCGATTCTTAACTACGTGACAATTATTTATCGCGTTCAAGGCACGTTCGAGTGATCGACAGAATTTATTCCGGTCTGAAGGCAAGAATTTATTAACGACGGGTGCAATGATACGTTCTTGAAATTGTTCCGTGATGCGTGTTTAATTGGAGACGATATTGGCGTAATTCCTGTAGTTTTGCGCGTCGTGAGAGTGATCGTTGGTGAAGTTCGAAGGAGGAATTTGAGACTGCAAATTTTCGTGAAATAATTTTCGCTGAATTATTTTCTACGTGGAATGATTTCGTTCGGGAATTACTCTCGAGAGTTAGGAGTTCTCTAAAGGGCTAGACCACCCCTGAGGATTGAAAACATCGAATTTTTCTAATATAATTTAAAAAATACAATCCAAACTGTTGTAAGAAAAAATGTCTAATTTTATACGATGGAGTTTTCTGTTTATCCGTGAACCGAACTGAAACTTCCAATGCAATTTACTCGATCCGCCAATTTTGTCCTCGAGACCCTTTTCCCAAAAAGCTTCTCAATTCTCGTTCCGAGTAAGAGCCAGAAATTCTCGAGGAAGAGTTGGAAAGAAAACGGCAGTGCAGGAAATATGCATATTATTTCTTATTATTTTTCAGGCAGTTGTCAGGGAACTAAACCGACTGGGAATGCTAGTGGATCTCTCTCATGTCTCAACAAGGACCATGAGGGCGGCCCTGCAGACGACGAGGGCACCGGTGATTTTCTCTCACAGTGCTGCCAGGGCACTCTGCAATTCCACTAGAAACGTGCCAGACGACGTGCTTAGAAATCTGGTGAGTTTCTGTGCAACCACATCGACACGGAAAAGTTAGGGGGTATGGAAATGCGAGAGGATAGCGCGGCAAGGTTAAACCAATTTCGATACTCGATCAGACGGACGTTACGCGTTTCTTCTCTCCTTCTTCCCATCAATTGCCATCGTACAAATACACCGGCTCGATTCAATTCCTTCCGAACAACGAAACGTACGATAGAA